TTCTGAAGGGACATAGGCTTCTGAAGGCTTTCTCCTTTGGGGGTTGTTTCCTTTCCTTTCCTTTCCCTTGACTACGACTGTACTAGATGTATTTTGGAGCTGGCAAGAAGTGGTGGGGTCTGATGCTCTAGCGGTGCACTATTCTAGCAGTGCTTTTGAGGTGACTTTCGAGGAAGGAGCTCACAGTGTCAGCTGATTCCAGCTGCTGGGAAAGGCTCTGCTTTCGCAGGCAGTGATATCTTCTCCACACTATTTAAGACTACTGGAAGCTGAACTTCACTTCTTAAAGCTTGCARTGAGGTCTTTGCACCCCAGCGTTGCTTGGTGTCTCCTCTCAAGGGTTTCATTGGGGTAGGTTCAATTGATTAATAGGTTTAATAGGTTAATATCTATTAATAGATATTTGGTTTTGGTGTTATTGGGTGTTTGGTTACAGAGCTGCTGGGGCTGGAAGGCATCCCTGGAGCTTGCCTAGTGCAGCCCTGYGCTCAGAGCAGGCCTGACTGCAGCAGGTCGCTCGGAGCATGGATGGTTGTGGGCTGGAGACTCCACAGCCTCTCTCAACATCTTTTGTTTTTTAACCACTCGCAGAAAAAGAGGTTTTTCCTCATCTTCAGATGGTGTTTCCTTCATTACAATTTGTGGCCATTGCCTTTTGTCCTGTCACTGAGTGCCATGGCTCTGGGTCCCTCTTCTTGGTCCCCTTCGTTAGTTATTTGTAGACATGGGTAAGATCAACCTCAGAGCCCTCTCTTTTTGAGGCTAAGCAATCCCAGCTCTCGGCCTCATTCCCCATGGCCGATGCCTCAGTCCCTTCATCATTTTTGGGTCTTCTTGCTGGACTTGCTCCAGTCCGTGACTTTCTTCCCTTGGGGAGCCCAGAACTGGGTATCACCTGCCTTGGAAAGAGCACCTGAGGGTCCCCATGGGCAACAAGTTGAATGTGGCCCAGTCCTGTGGCCATGTGGGCAGCAATGTCTTGGCTGCGCATCGAGGGAGGTAACATGCTGGCCACTACTCTTAATTCAGCCCAGGGCTCAGGTTGCCACCTTTGTCCCAAGGGCACATTGCTGGTCCCTGATCAAATGGATACGCGCAGGAACCCGCGGGTCCTTTCCTGCAAGCTGGTTTGTGACCAGGTGGCCCCAGCCTGTCCTGGCACGGGGTGTTCTCCCTTCGCAGAGGCGGGACTCAGCATTTCCCTTTGCTCTCCGTAAGTCCTTTTGCTCTCCAATAACTCCATGAGGTTCTTCTCTGCCTGTTTCTCCAGCCTGCACTGAAAACCTTGCTATTGTCAAGATAAGCCTTGGCAGGTCTCCTCTTGCTCTCCAAGCAGCTCATCTCTTGCTAGAAAGCTGTAGGGTAGATCCATGCTAACTGCTCCCATTCACCTCCTCTGCGTCATGCCTTTGGAAATGGAATCCAGGATTCATTGGTGCTTTCCCTTCCCCGAGATCGAGGAGGGGCTGGCTGGCTGGTTGCTCTCCAGATGCTCCTAGTTGGCCTTCTGGAACATTGGAGCAACGGTGGCTTTTTTGGGATCCTCTGTGCCCTGTTAATGATGACAGAGAGAGGCCTGCAGTGACAAGGGCCGCCTCCCGCAGCGCTTGGTATCACAAACTCAGAACTTGTTGCTAATGTTCATCCCCCTCAGCTGCTGGAAAGGAACACCAGACACTTTATATATAATCAATATTTTAGAGAAAAAAGTGAAAGTTGTTTTTCCTTTCCGTTCGGACACGTGCTAAAGAAGGGCACCAGAAAACAAAGGTGGGTCGAAACAGCAGGCTCCAGCACATCCGCAGAGACACACACGTCTGCGAACACGTTAGGCCTGTGCGAGCCCCAGGGCTGTGCGTGGCTGCGGGCCTGGGTGTCCTGTGCTCCGCAGCGGATCGGCAGGGCCGAGCGCTTCCCGTCCCCGCTCCCGCCGGGAATGCGCTTCCCTGCCYGCCCTGCACGGCTCTCACCGCAGCCCGGCGAGCACCACGCATCTGCAGACACGGAGCAGGAACTGCCTTCCAGCGAGAGGCTCTTTGACGGGCTGCTTCCATACCAAGAAGTATGGAAGTGGTTATAACCAAATAACCAAAAAGTGGTTATTTGGCTCTTGCTTGCCCCGGAGCGGGGATAGCCCGGCCGAGGATCCTCGCTCTGCATCTCGGCGCCGTCGCCAGCGGGTTAACTCACCCGAGAGCCCCCTCGAACCGTGCTCCGTCATAGCCACGCACCAAAAGCACCTTTAAGGAGGCATTTGCTGAGTTTGTTTTTTATTAAATAACTCAGTTTATCTCTTGGAATATTTTAAGGGCTTTATGAGTCACTAAGCGCAGCTCTGTTCTCTGAGAGTAGAATAATTTCTGGAATAATCTTTCATTGAATCATTGAAAATCAGGGGGTTGTTTTTCACCTTCTTTTCTTTATCTGCTGTCCTTTTTCCATCTTCAAGCAACCTGGTGCTGAAGTCCCTTGTTTTTTGTGCCTATATTGCTGCATTTGAAAAAGTCGTTTCATTTGTAGTCCCTGTGTGAGSGTTACTAATGGAGACCTGGTCTTTAATTTGAAGCTTTGTAGGATTGCTTCGTAGTGATGTTTCTCTCCCTCTTTACTTTTTATTGCACTGAGCATATAATATTGTCTATTTTATACCCAGCATTATCAGGCAGAAACAATCTGAATTTATTAGCTTTCCCACCTGTATTTTTTGCAGAGGATAAGCTAAAACTCTGTTGTTTTACACTAATAATTGTGTATTATGTATTATCCAGTTTAGTGATTTTGTCAGACAACCCAAACTGCCCTGGGATGCTGCAGGCTTGATCTTTGATAGTTGAGTATATGCTAGAACTGGAATTTGTTCATTTAGCCTTTGTAAAGGAAGATTTTTAARCCGTAGTCATTAGTGAAGCTTCCCATGGCACTGGGGAATTAAATTTTGCAAAAATGTTTTCAGAGCTTTCCCAGTCTCTGCGTTTCGGTCTCCCGAATGGTGCTGGTCGTGGCTGCTGTGGGAAGCGYCGCCTTTTGGGGCGAGCTACCAGAAAAGATGTTTATTGCAAGTCAGCAGTGGTATTGCACGTAAATGAAAATAAGTGGAAATTAGTAGGTATGAGAAAAAGAGACTGCAGCGCCTCTACCTGAGAGCAGTTTGTAAGAGATTTTGTGGGGGATTGTTTAGGATTTGTGGTGTTGGGAGAACAAAACTTCTTGTCTATCATATCTCTATCCACCCTTCAGGGAAACACCAAAAATGAGTTTTTATTCCTCTTATGTACCAGTTTCTGCTTGCCACAGGCAAATATATTCTCAGTTTTCACTAATTCACTTTAGACTCTCTTACAGCATTGGTATGTAAATGATTTTTTTATTAGTGATTCCTAAGTAGAAGTATTTCTCTCAGAAAAAATTGCTGCTATATAAAATAATTGCAGTTTCACAGGGTTTTAGTTGCTTCTATGGGGGGTTGTTGTTGTTGTAGTCGATTATAAGGTTTTACCTCCCTACATAGGTGTCCTGGGTAGAAGTGGCTTGTCCAAGTGAGCTTAGGAGATGAAATCAAGGAGAAGGAAAGTGCTTTAGAAAATCTTAGCATAATAGTTCAAGTTCCTGTTTGAGTTCAAATTGATTACCTTTTTAAATATAATATCCTGTTTAAATTGCAAGTATAATCTGCTGATACTGAATTTCGGTAGGAGTACAGTCTACATTCAGTATTATGCATAGGCATAATACGAATAACATTGTGAATGTGCAAGTTGGAGCTTTCCAAGTCGTTTCTTGGCCAAATTCAGGCAGGCGTTCATGAAGACAGCRCTGCACCTTATGCAATGTGATACATCCTTGATACAAACCAGTATCTTGGTTCCCAAAATGCAGCCTGGAGAGGGATACYGCAGTTCTCTACAGTGAAAGGACAGTCTTTCGAACCCTGAAAATCACCCCTTCAGATATATTCCTTAAAACAGTGCAACCGTTTGCTTGAATTTTCAAAACAAATGACGTTTGCACGCTGGGCGCACGGATCAGCCCGGGAGGTTAAGGATGGACAGARCTATAAGCCAGGGGAAGCAGAATTTGATAATGGAAGTTGTTCATTCCAATTCTAACGGTAGGTTCACCAAGCACGGTAGCCGGAGCATCTCCCCGTTACGTAATGGGTGTTGTGGAAGTGGGAATGTGTTGTTCTGTGCCGCAAAAAGTACGTTTGTTTTGTAGTCTGTGATCTGGATGTATTTTCYGGTGCTCGTTTGTGTTGTTACAATACTTGGGAAGAAAGTCTGGCTTGCAGAATAATTTCTGCCTTTTCTCGTGGCTGGGTTGGAGGCTGAGGTGAAATTGCTTTTCCCCTCGGTTGCGCGAGGGATTGCGTTGTGACCTGTGATCAGCTTCTACATTTTGCACCTTAATTGAGACACAAAGAGGGCATGCAGGTGCTGAATAGCACGCGGGTTCCAAGAGGGAGGATAATTTAACTGTGCTTGCTGTGTCAGTGCAATCGGGCATGTATCTGGGCTGCAGAAAGGGGAATTTAGTGCCTGGAGTTAGATCAAAACTGGCTCTGTTCAAAGCTACCCTGCGAGTACTCTWAGTTTTCGGTTGCGTGTTGGCAAAAGGCAGGAGTGGAAATGAGCGGAGTGGGATGGAGAGGAGGCAATAGCAGCAATTAATGCCACGCACAGCTCGCGGCGGGGCTGTAATGTTATTTTAGGAATGAAAGATTTGCTTTATTTTATACTGTCATGAACTCAATCACCGCTTCTCAAAGTGGGCAGTTCTTGCTATTACTCTTCCTGAAATAGAGCAAGGGGATAGATATGTCAAGGAGGAATGGATGCTGTTTATCTTACGTTGCTTTAGAGACGCAGCGGTGCTGAATTAGTAAATACATTATTTGCAGTAGCTTGCTCATTTGCAATCGTTTTGTCAGATGAATTATTGAATTCAGTTTGTATAGATTCAACATAGAAAAAAAAAATAATTTCCTGTGTTTTCTTTTTTAGCCTTCTGTTGAGTCGTCAAGCCCAGGTAAATATTTTTACTATTTCCTAAACTTCCGAGGGAAAAGGGGCTGCCTTGCAAAGTTCTTCTTGCTGATCTGTTCCAGCCAGCGGCCGCGGGTGGCAGTTTGCCGAGTCAATCCGTGGCCGCGTTGGCCGCAGCTCCCTCGGCGGTGCCGGCGGTGCCGCGGGAGCGACGCCGCGCGTGGCGGAGCCGCCGCGCTCGCGGGCTGCCCTCGCTTACGTGCCCTTGCCGCTGCCTTTAGCCCGCACGACAGCAGCACAGGCAGGAGCTGCAAGCCAAACGGCACGTTATTCCTCGCCGGATCGCTAAAAGCGAGGGGTTTCATGGCTTTTGTTTTCAAAGCTGCTGCTTTTCTGATGTACCAGTATCTCGGTTTTACTGGATATCTAATAATCAGCATAAGTATAAATTATGATTTAAAAAAAAAAAAACAACAACTTTACTGCTACTATACATTGTGGTATTTATTTCACAAGTTTTGGCATTGTACTAGTTGAACAACTTCCCAATAGTTACTAGAGCTGGACTGCCGTTGTCTCTTGCATTCTTACTTTTTTTTACAAATATTTTTTATTTTTTTAAACACTTAAAACTACAAAATATAGTTAACTCTTCCTCCCTCTTGCACCCTTAGCATGAATACAGTCTTCAAGCTTTGGAAAATAAAATTTAAATTGTCAAGGAGACATGTGGACAAATATCATCAAAGCTAGAGTTAGAAATCAGGTATTGCTAAATTATATCCAAATGCTGCATCTGCCAAACCGCTCATCCATTCATTTATTTATTTTTTTGTTGTCACAAAATACAAACCAGACTTTTCTACAAAGAATTGAGAAATGCATGGGGAAAAATAATTAAGGATTCTACATCATATATAAAATCTGCATAACTATGAAGCTGACATGAAGTTTAAATTTTGAGAAGTTGTAAGGCAGTCTCTTGGCAGTTGTAAACAAGAATACTTGGGAAGGAGCAAAGATACAACTGCCCCAGCTTATATTTCTATGAGTATTTATACTCTCGGTAGGACAAACACTTCTGATTAGGTAGGAATTAAATCTTCAACAACTGAGCGTTGTGCAGGTATTTAACTAGGGGCCTGATGTGCAGGTTTATAGTACTTTGAGAAATGACTGGTTAACTCCTACCTCTTTTTTTCCCCGTGATCTCTTATCACCCCAAAATCAGCTTTCCCTGTCCTCTGAATAATATGATTAGCTTTCCCCAAGATAAGTGAATTAGGGATTCTGCAGAGACTTCCATTTCTCAGGATAATTTGAGTATAAAAATGTCACCAAAATAAAAAACTAAACTATTTGAGGCCATGATCTAACTRAAAAACAATCTTTAAAATGTTTTCCATCAGGAGGTTCAGCAACATCTGATGACCATGAATTTGATCCATCAGCTGATATGCTGGTGCATGACTTTGATGATGAACGGACATTAGAAGAGGAGGAAATGATGGAAGGAGAAACAAACTTCAGTTCTGAAATAGAGGATCTTAACAGGGTAGGTAGCATTAAGTAGTCCTAAAACGTAACCACAACCCACAATCYTGCACAAAAACATGTGCAGGCTTTTTCCCCTCAACCTGGGACAAAACCCCCCAAATGCCCCCAAAACAGTAGGAGGTAAATAATATAGATGGGGGAAGGGGCTAAGCTAAATTAGCAATTTTTAAAAGGTGGGACAAGAAAACTGGTATCTAAATATTTAATAATGTATAATTCTGTGCTTGTGTAGTTTCTTTATATTTACTGCTACAGGACTTGCATTTTAGAGCTAATATAAATTAACGTTTGCTCTGACTAAACTTGCATGTTCCAGGGTTCCTGTTTTTAACAAACACCAGCACTTGATTAGAGCACGTAGATTTCAGTTTAATCGCAATCCCATTATTTTACACCTATATTTTTTATGCAAACATTCATATAACAATTCAGTGAAGCAGATAATATCCCTATTGTTAAGACAGAGGAAACGGAAACACAGATTGATTGGTTTGCTCAAAGCCACGCGGTTATGTTGTCAGGAGCACTGGGATCAGAACTCCCAAATATTGGTAATAGTGTTAAATAGATCTTAAAATGTGTATATTCTGAAATAACTATGTAAGATTTATTTGGGGTCTTGAGCTTCTGTTGTCACTTATGTCTGCTTTAAATTACTCCTCTGTCAGGAATAATATTCTTAAACTACAAAGTATGGTCATTGTAAGTGCCAAAGTAGTTTAGATACTGTCTGTGACCTCTTTGGCTGAAAAAGCTTCCAGAACAGATCATTAATAATCCTGTTTGGTATAAATGATTATATACCCATATGGTGTTAAATTAATTTAGTGCATTTAATCTACACTTCAGATGTAAATGGTTTCTTTCTATTGGTTTCAGGCTTGATATTAAAATGTAAATGTAAAGATAAACAAGTTGTTAATCTAAACATGCTCCATCTCAATTAAATGGGAAATGGGATTCCACATCTATCTCATGGTTCTTAAGTTGAAAGTACACATTTTTTTCCTCATCTTTTGTCAAGAGTGAACATTGCTTACGTAATTTTATCACCACATTACAATGCTTTGTTTATAATCGTATTTCAACATCAATTTATTCCCTCATGCCCTAGCTGTAGGGGGCTACAATTCTATAATTTTTCCACATTTCAGGTATTTTTGTAGTAAGAAGAGTGAGCAATGTTAACTTCAATTCAAATTGCTCCATGTGCTAGCCATCTCCAAAGTGGTTTTTTTTTTTTTCTTCAAATTGTCCTTGAATCCTACTGTAAAGTTATATGGCTATTGCAGGGAGAGCTTCTACTGAGCTTCAGGTGCTTCCACCCGACAGGACCTTGCTAGAGACCTGTAGTTGCTTCTATTTCTGGGCTAGCAGCTCATGCATCAAGGCTTATTTTTTTCGCTTTATTATTTTTTTCCTCAAACATGCCCATCCTTAGACATGGATGGTGGACAACCTAAGCCTCAAAACTGTTGTCAAGACAAGTGCTATCCTGCCTTTGCTTTCCCTAGTCATTTACAGATATTCCTTCAGATTTCCCTCTAGGCTGGGCATGTGCTGGATTTACTAGTTTGGCTCCTTCAGAGCCCAAGTGGCGGTCAGGCTTAGCAAAGCAGTGCTTGAACCTTAATTATTAAACTTGTSAGTGGCATAACAACAATACCTGCTTTTGAGGGTGAGGATCTTCTGCACTCATTGCCCGAAAACGAGATGAATCTGTAAGCTGTGAGTATTTGGGGCTGAGCAGTGCCCTGCATTTGCAGATGAGTGTATGAGGACACATTTTTGTGTGCGTATCAATGGCCGCAGTTTGTCTCTCTCCTGAGACCTGAAGTCACCCTCTGTGCTGCTGTGGAATATGGAAAAAAATCCAGTTCTTTGAGAGGGTAGTTGAATAAGAAATACTGGAGCTGGCGGTTCTTAGTGATGCTCCTTGAAAGGTAAGAGCGTTTTGGGGACAGAAGAGCCATCTGGAATGTGACGGAGAAGACTGTGTCCGCTCATATCCAGGTGTGTGTAATAGAGTTACAGAATTAATAGAATATTCTCATGTGTTGATAGGCATACTGGGTCTGACCAAAGTCCTGGCTAAACCTAAACCAATATTCTTTCTTCAACAGACCAGGACAGAAAGTGATCAGGAGGGTGATTTTTTATTATTATTGTTTTCTTTAATTCTCCCCACAACAGGGCACATCTTCTGTCTCCTGGGCATACTCTGATGCTGCAGTTTTGCCAAATGCAGGAAACTGGCTGCATAATTCCTGACAGTGAGAAAYTGTATTCACTCTCCTCCTTGGGGAGTGCCCTGGGCCCTACCAAGTTGCAGAAAGTTGTAGTTTCCTCCCGCTCTTAGCAGGTGGCTAAAAAAAAAAAAAAAAAAAAGGCATCAGCTGAAGGGAGAGATACGGGCAATTTGATGCCTGTGGGACCTAGCTCTTCAGCTTCGTGCTGTCCTGTCCGTGGGCTGGGCGATACTGATGGTTTGCACTGGTGTTTTGGGTACCTCTAGGAAGCAGTGAGCACTGTCAGGATGCCGTACACCATGCCTCCCTCCATGACTTAAATATTTTTAAGCCTTTGATGCCTTTTTTTTTTCCATTTGTTGTTCCCTCTGATTTCTTGGTTTCTCCTTTTGGGTCCTTCTTTTCATGGAGGGCTCTTGGGTTGTCTCAGGGACATGCACCAACATCCTATTCCCTATTTGGCAGCAAAACCCAGCAGTAGTTATTTGAGGAAGGCTGTAGAGCAGGGCAGTGTTTCCTCCCAATACTCTTGCAGCCTCCAGCGGGTTGCAGTTGGGATGCACCTGGAACAGATGATGCCTCTTGCTCTCTCATACTTCTCCCCTCCACCACACAAATGAGTCCAGCTGATTTTTAACCTTGTGAACCTTAGTGTCTGCAAGGCAGTGTTGCACAATTTAAGTTCATTTAGTTTGAGGGGGGKTTTAATCCTATTTTTGTTCATTTTAATGGTTGCCCCTGAGCTTTTGAGTTATTATGTACCTTCTCTGCTGCTGCTGTAGTTCACTGTTATATTGCCCCTCATTTACCTTTTCTCCAGACAGAGGAACATTTCTAGTTTTACAGTTACCCTAAAACAATGCTGAAATCATCATCTGATACTGAAARCATTTTTGTCTTGGAGAGTTGTTGGCACTTGGAGCTTTTTGAATTATAATGGGATATGGCAAGTTAAGAGGCTCCACCTTAGAAAAAATCAGAAAATGTTCTAAATACAATACCACTTTTCAGTGGAACAGATGGCAATATGCCTACTACATTATTCTCGCATACTTACAAATTGTAGTAGTATTTTTCTAATTCTCAGTCAGTATGTTTAAATGGAGTAGCGGGGGGGGAATGCTGAATTGCTCTTCAAAATGCACCAGAGAACATTTATTTGGGAATCATGGTTATAGTGCAGCTGTCAAAAAATGTAAGGTTTGAATTAAGATCACAGCCCTGTCAGTGTCAAAAGTAAATTCCCTGCCTCTTCATTCCGTAAGACATTATGGCAGGACCAAGAAGTCAAGAAGCAAGGTGAGAGGATTGAGGTGCCTGTGGTCTGCATCTACTGTGCGTGTAGCTCCAAAGACTGGACCACCTYAGTTCTTTGAAATAAAAGAGCATGAACAGACCCTGATAACCCTGTGGTGTATTTATTTTCACACACTACAACTGACAATGTTTGCCTTTTGTAACTGATATTATCGGTGTGTTTCAGGAAAACTGAACTTTGGAGAAATATCCAGTGCTGGACAGTTTGTACAAGAGTTAGTTGGAGGTGGTGTAGGGTCAGCAGGCAACTAGGAAATCTGATTATCAGCCAGGACTTACATTGCCTACTAAGAAGTAGTGTTGCTCACAGGCATGCACCTCTGCGTGATAAACCAAGGAGGAGATCCTCGGAGAGGAGTAATTCCTAAAACCTCTCCAAGAGGTTCTGCTCCAAAAAGTCTCTCTAGGGAAGGCATATACTGGCCCAGCAGGCTGCATACTGAGCCATTAAAGTGGTTAAGTGATTTGCACACCTGGCAATCAATAGTTTGTATTGGTAAAGCGAATGCAAGTGATAACTGTTCTGCCACTAAACTTGAGAACTTTCCATGTCATTGGAGATGGATTTTCCAGAGTGGATCCACCATCTAAATACAAAGATATTCAAGTGTGCTCATATTTTTGTGGGTTTGCTCCCAACCCTGGGTGCTTTCGTAGGCAGCTAGCTTAAAAGCTGCTTGTTTTTCTTTTTAAGTGAGGAGATGAGTATGCATCTGTAAACACTGCCATCTTTACCTGAATATTCTTAATATATAGCTTGGGTTTTTTTATTATTATTTATTTCCCCCAGAAGGAGAGTGGTTGAGAAGTGCATTTGGTTTGATTAGTGTCATTTTGTGTTGGTGGCCAGGGTTGTAGGACTGCAAGGATCCAACTCTAAAATATATATATATATAAATATATATATATATATATATGATCTCCATGTTCAAGGCAGATAGYGCAAGTTCTCTTCTTTATTCTGCAGAATTTTTGGAAACGTGGTGCAAAGCACTGCCTTGCATTAGGGCAAGGTACTGCTGTGCAGCTAGCTTCATGGTACCTGCAAAATCTATCTTGTCTGTCTGGATGAAGCCATTGCTGCAGTTTCATTCTTTGAGTGCTTCTTTTTGCATGAATATGTGCAAAATTCTCTAATCTTTTTTTCAGGTAATTTTAATGGGAGAAAAAAACCCCAAACCCTCTCAACTACCAATTCAGCAAGGAGAGTGTTCAGTCCATGTCAGTGCTGAAGGCGGATGGTGTGTGGCCCACACGTCCTATCTGGCTGCCACGGGAGTTAGTTAACATCATTTCCACCACTCTGTTCCCCAAGGTGGTCTTGGTGACTGGCTGGATGGTTTCTCTTGGTGGCCGCCAGTCCCCAAAACACACAACTAACTCAGATACCTGCCCTCCAAACTTGTAATTCTGATTATCCATTCATTTGGAGTGAACATTTTTAGTAGACTTGATGACGTATTTTTTTTTTGTTGGTTCATGCACAATTTAAACTACGGAGCAGATGTGAAATACTTGTCTTAAAATCTCCACATTTGTTTGGCTGTTTCTCAGGAAAGTGATATGCCAATCCAGGAGCTCCTTAGCCTTTATGGCTACGATGGTACCATTCCACTGCAAGAAGATGATGATGATGAAGATGATGAGGAGGAAGAGGAGGAGGGAGAAGATGATGATGATGTTGATAATGATGACAACAGTGGCTGTAGTGGAGARAACAAAGTGAGTGYTTACACTGATTTGAAGCTTACTTTCATTGAGCCGTTATGTACTAGATGGGCGTTCAAGGTGTCACATCACAGCAGAAATAATTTGCAGCATAGCTGATTTTAGATGCTTTGGGTGCTGTATTCTAATGTTTGCTCTTAATTATCCATCTCTATTTCTTTTAATTTCATTGTGTCTTTCTATCCTGTCACTGAAACAAATTAGAGTACATGTATACCTACAGCATGACTGAAAAAAAGGGCATCATAAAGGGCGTAGTATTTTAGAAATAGTTTGGCTTCGAAACTTGAGTTTTAAGTGCCCAGGGGTACCTTTATAAATACAGCTGAATACTTGTTTTGAGGTTAAAAAGCTCAAATACTTGTTTTGAGGTTAAAAAGCTCATCTACCGAAACTGAAGTGAGGAGTCGAATTCAAAGATGTCTCTAGAGTGCTTGAGGCTGCTGACCGTATTTTCAGAAAGTCATGGTAATTGTCCTGTAGGTAAAAGTTACATGGTTAATGGGGGGGGAAAAAAAAAGGTAGTTAAAATTTAATAATACAAATTTTTTGCAAAATGTAAAGCAGTGAATTTGGCATCTTTAAAATTCTGTCGTATGTGCTGTTAAATAAATCCAATTTTAGAAGAATCTCTTCTGCTTGGCTTTTTTATACATATTCATAATAATGTTGCCCTGTCAGGGGCACAGCTGTAACTTCTCCATTATTGGTGGCACTCAGGGTTACTTCCTGAATTACAGTATAATATTGAAACCTTTGTACTCACTTAGTACTGGCAGCAGCAAAAAAAGCCTAAGCGTTAATAAAAGTGGTATGACCTAGCCTGGATTTAAAATTACCCATTTTGTCCTTTGATTTTTTTATCCGTTTTTGAATCCAGGAATGAGACACAATGAGATAACTGATTTGGAAAATTAAGTTGTTATGATTTATGAGCCTCTTTGATACATGTTGTAAACGATTGCTATTTGTTCAGGTTGGATAGTTCAAAAAGAAGAAAGATGTCACTGCTTCACATTAGGAAAGTTTTAGGCAGCCGTGCTGGGAGCTAATGTAACATGAAGAAGGCAAAATTAAAATCAGACACAGATTAATTTAGTAGTGCGAATTTGGTGGTGCTCCTGAAGTCTCATTTCCTTCTCGTGCCCGTGCTTCTAAATTCCTGTCTGTCACAGCTTCCATCTTCTATGTTCTCCCACCCATCTCAGCACTTCCCCAAGTCTGTTATAGCATTTTATTTTTCTCTCACGATACTGCTTATCTTTCCTCTGAGATGGATAAAATCTCCGCAGCGCTCTCTGCTAGGGTGTTTGCAGCACGAGCAGTCAGCTTTGCCCCTGCGTGGGGCACCAGGAGCACCAGAACATTTCACTCAGGCCACCCTGGTCTGCAGGACTGGCCCAGCTAACCTGTTAACCCAGGACCAAACCCAGCTAACACTAACCTGTCAACACTGCGTCTCAGCCCGYGAGAGCCCTACAAATCTTTGCATGATCTTAGCAGAGATCCCTGGAGTAATACTGTAAATCATTCATGCCTGCTCTGCRAGTGCAAAGCTCTCTACGTGCTCGGTTAGTGATATTGCACGCAGCTATTTTCTATTTTTAATCTGCTTTAAGCTGCACATGTGATAATACCCTGGCTTGCTGTTGAAGGTAACGTAAACATATCGTGCCTCATGCCTCTGTGTTAGAAATGCAAGTGTGAAGGCTCACAACATACCCATAAGATGCATAAAAATATAAGTATGTGTGTATATAAAGTATATACATTGATATTATGCATAAAAAGCATGCATAATACAAAACACTAATGTGATTTTTAATGATTATCACTTTAATTTTCCTTGATTCCGTTAATACCTATTGTTATGCTTTTTTTTTTTCCTAACAGAGAAACATCTCTGACAAACTTTAGAGCTGTTAATGATTCGGTGAGGTACACACTCAAGTCTGATAATGTTGTTTCTGTGGGATTGAACCACTCTATTGACTTTTATTTTTTGTTGGAAATGGCTGGGAAAAATGTAGCCAACTGATAATTCCTATCATTTTCATTGAAAATTTACAAGGGAAGATTTAAAGGAAGGTAAAATTTCAGGACAGTAGTTCCAAAAAAAAAAAAAAAA